AGTTAACCACCCTAAACTTCAGGGGCTATTTAACACTCGGAATGTGCTGGGGTTTAGTTCCCACAGCAGCTTTGCAGTGGGAGCCCAGATCTACTTCCAGTTATGAAAGCCTGAGAAGGCTCAAAGGGCTGCCAGAACAGCCCCAAGCTTTCTGAAACGCCTGGTCTGCTGGTTAATTAAAGCATCTCCACAGCAAAATTTCTGTTATCAATGCATGAGTTCTGGAGTAGTAGTTAAAAATCAAATGGCTATTGATTTTATTGGCTCATGAGACATGTGACTAGACACCAGATTTTCTTTCTGCCTTCCTCTTTCAGGAGGAGCAGGGAAAAAAGGAGGGAATTCATGCATCTCCCTTGTGCCAATTTGAAGAGGTGTATTTGGCACCTTAGGAGACTGTATTTCCTAGAAAATGGCCTCTCCCCGACAAGTGAGTTTTCCCAGCAAGCAGGGTTAATTCTTCTGAGAAACTGCTTTTTACATGGTTAAAGTGCTCAGCCAGGTCCTAGTCAATAACTGGGAATCCTCAATGGTAAAACACTGATTAAAGTGCTACAGAAACTGGTTGCAGTCCTGGGACTTTTGTTATAGTATATACCTAGAGGAGAGAGGCTCCAGAGCTCTTATTTATCTACTAGACTTTTTATCAGAGGACAAAATCAGTTTAACAGACTGATAATCCATTCAGGCCCAGCAGAATATAATACCAGAATATACAATAAAAGAGAGTAGCAGCCTATTACCATAAGTAGAAGTGTCACATTCTCTATATGTGGGACCTCGCAAGTTATAGCTTTTATTCACTGAGAAATGACATGTTGTGAAATATCAGTAAACAAGGTGAAGAGAACCTGAACAGACCAAGAGGCCTTGAATTCACATTACTGAGAGCTGAGCATCTGTTTTCCTCCTGTCTTCCAAGCTATTTTATGAAGATAAGGACATGAGAGATTCTACTGATTCCCAGAACAACCCAAGCGGCCGCGGGGAAGCGGGTGGTGATACACACCATGTAAAACTGCAGGCGATAATGTTTCTTCACTAAACTCAAAACAAACATGCAGAAACCTGTAAAACAAAGCAGGGGTAATTTGCACAGACTTGTATTTAATTACCGGGATATAACAGGAATTCCTTTCCTGTTATATCTTATATCTTTGTTATATCTTTCCCTCAACTTTTAGGGCCATTTGCTTCTCTTCAGTCAGTGGATATACAGGATGACTTATTCTCATTAGAAGGCATTCATTAGCATTAGTAATCATGTCCCTTTCATTACCTTAACAGTTAAAGCCCCATCATAGCCATCACTTTTTAGGGCAGGAGACAACCACCTTTAAGAGCTATTCAAAAGCAGAGGTCAAGAAGCTTGTTTTCAAAGGCAGTAAGCTAGGAATGCCATACCCCTGGGCCCAGAACCCCTCTGCTTGCAGGCAGCACAAGCGAGAGGTGCAGGCGCTGGGGAGTTCCTGCAATGCAGAGCAACCACGCCGGGTGCTTGCACTGTCCCACCTGTGCCCCCACCCAGCAGCAGTTACACATTGAGAAATGCACCAGCTCCGCTGCAGCAACAGCCAGCTCCCCTCTTGGGCAACACCTCACCTGAGCGGGTAGTTAAAAAAGGAAGCTGGAATTGTTATTCCTGTTTTACTGACGGAAAATCTGAAGCAACTTGGCCAACACCCTCCAGTGAGACCAGTTGCAGGGTGAGAAATAAAACTCTGTCTCGGGCTCAGGCCCAGCTCTCGTGTCCAGTAGGCTCACCTTTGTCTTCAGCTGACTTAAAGATATTTTAATTGCATTTCTGTAGATTATAACTACTTGTTCAAAAAGCAAGAAGCCAGAGGACAGATGCCTTTTTTTTTTTTTTCCTAGGGGAGAAGTTTTTAAAAATATTCTCTCTCTGGAAAGTGAGGAAAATTTATCAGTGCTACACTGTCAGAATTATCTTGCATACCAGAGAAAGCTTCAGGTGCTTTGCAAAACAAATTTCAAATCTAGAAGAACATCTTATTCCTGCAGAGCTGGCAGGACACTTGCACAATAAAGCTTCGTTCCAGCAGAGCAATTAAACCTGCAAGACATCTCCGTGGATGCCATTCACACTAAAAACTCTTCATGTACATTATAGTACTACCCTACATTGAAGTATTGAGCCCAGTCCCTAAGCTATCAGAAGGAACTTATGCTGACTGCTAACGAGCAGTATTAGCTTGACTTGCATCTACGTTTTTATGCTACTTTCTTCTCAGTGAACGTGAAATTTGGATTAATCTTTTCACAAGAAAAGAAATGGAAAAATGATCACAAACTTCTTCATGTACATTATAGTACTACCCTACATTGAAGTATTGAGCCCAGTCCCTAAGCTATCAGAAGGAACTTATGCTGACTGCTAACGAGCAGTATTAGCTTGACTTGCATCTACGTTTTTATGCTACTTTCTTCTCAGTGAACGTGAAATTTGGATTAATCTTTTCACAAGAAAAGAAATGGAAAAATGACCACGAACAGAGTAGAAAGAAGTGAAAGCAGGAAAAGCTGTAGAGTACGAGGGGAGCTTTTTCACATCCACCCTACAGAAACAAACGCAGCACAATGTTCTCTCATCTCTGAATTCTTACACTTACCTGCCAAATAGAGTGCAAAAGATATAAACCTGTGGTAACGAATCAGGAATTGAAGCTGCTCTCTTCTCTGGACAAACGTAGCAAAGTAATCAGCTACAGTCTCTCCATAAAAAAAGTAGTTCACGCACAGCAAGAAGTACCTGTAACATACAACAGACATACAGGCTTTTTTTTTTTTTTTTTAAAAAAAAAAAGGTAAATCTTTCAATGCTGTTCTTTAAAAAGATATAGAAAAATAGTAAATTGGAAAATACTGTGATAAAATATGAGATAAATATAAATCAAGTCTTTTTTACTTCTTCCTCCTCTGACAAGTCAGTTCTTGTGATTTAGTTCTTCCAAAGCAACTTGCATTAAAAAAAGGCCAATTTTGAAGATGGATACAACCTGAGCAACACTTTCATACTGAGTTACAGTGTTGAATACTCCACACCTATTCAAGTCTTTTGTGGCTTTTGATCACTGAATGTCGGAGCAAGTACCGAGCACTACCCATACAAACAAGTCTGCACATTTTTTCCCTGTATACTGCATAAAAAGCATAACGTGTGGTTGCTGCCCTGCAAGCATACAGAAAGTACTTGCACAATTAACACTCTGAGGCTCTACAACAGTTTTATAAGGCAGTTGTAAGACAACTATTTCTGAAGGATCTGCCAAGAAGTATATTCAGTCAAGTCTTTCCAGGGCTAAGCCACTTCAGATCCTCAAATGCGAAAGCAGCAGAAAAGAAACCCTACATCCAAAACCAGGAAAAGATACACCCAAGGAACATACTTCTTAGCTTATCACTGAGGTGAGGCACGGAGCCTAAGAAGCTGCAATTTAAGATGGCCTGGGTGACTGGGCATCCTTGGACAAGGCAGTGCTCACTGCTTATTCCCCTCGGCATCCCATAGATGCTAAGCTCATTTTTCAAGGCTGCACATCTTTGAACATGCCCAACAGCTCCAGTAACAGGATTCTTTCAGCTCACTGAAATGTCTCACTAGCAGGAATCCACCCCTTGCCGCAAGAGAATTGCTTCTAGAACTCAAGAAGCAGTAGAGTAAGAGTCAGGGAATAGCTTAGATGTGTCAATTTTATATAAAACAAACAAACAATAAACTTCAGACAAGACTGAAGAATCATGTCCTCACGCATTTTAGATACTGCATGTGTCCTGTACCTCCCTATAATGCTCACTCGAACCAAAAGCCTTTATTTCTCCTCAGAAACAGAGGTAATTTCCCTGGTTCTATTCAGCTGTGCATAAATAGCACATAGTCACAAATATTTGGAATTTTCCAGGTCTTCTCACTTTCAGCAGATCCCACAACACTTCCGTATTTATGCAGTCTTGTGATTAAAAGCACAAAACTGGAAAGGATTTAAAGTTATACATTATTATATTACTTTTTCTGAGTTTGTGTGTGCATGTGTGTGTCTGCGTATGTGTGCGCGCATGCAAAAAAGCCTTTCAAGTTTTAGGTACTTACTCAATTTATTTCTTATGCAGGATTAATTGCCAAGGAGTCAAAGCAGTGCAGGTAATGCAAATTAGGTAAGTATTTGGCTACACAATCATTTTTAGATAGCATGTATGTGCTCAATTTCTATCAAAGTATATAGGTATGTAGACATATATGTATATTTACAACAGGAAAACAAACATCAAAGTAGTAGAAGGGCCACTGACTAGTCCCAGCTCACAAATGGAAGACAATTGCAGAATACTGCACCAAGAGAGAAATGTCAGGGTTTAGCTCTGCACATTTCCTACCAAGCTGTCCTGTCACCACAGGGGGATATGAAGACTACCAAGGTTTATATTTCAAATCTCTTGCTTGCTACTCACCAACTTAGGGATCTAAACCACGGCAAGTCATAGGAGTGATAGACTCTGTAACCTATGGTAATGATTTCATGGAAACACTTCACTTGGATGCTTAAGACCTAAAAAAAAAAAAAAAATTAAGAGAAAGAATGAATTACATAGCTGTACTGTAGCTGGCCTTTGAGGCAGTAAGGAATACTGCAACCTGCATTAAAATTATTGTGAACTGAAATTCCACATAGACCTCAGACAATTTCAAAGAGAGGTCAAGGCAAACAAAAGCTTTCTTTAAGACCTCCCCCAAAACTAAAAGCATGAGGCACGCTGAGAAAAGGAATGCTGGGCTAGCTGTATGGCTTCAGTCATTAAACAAGGGAAAGCTCAGGACTTTTCTTCATTAAAACAGTTGGACAGTGGCAAGTCAGAAGCATCTCCTGTAAAAAAAATAATATAGGCTCCTCTAGTTCTTTTGGCTAAGATTAATTTTTTCGTTCAGTTTAAAAGGCATCTACAGTATCAAAGGGAAAAATGCAACACAATTTGGACACCCAGGTCTTCGATTTGCAAGCGTCTCATTAGCAGCATGCCTAATGCTGCTAATGAGCACTGGTGATTGGAAGCAAAGCTTGTCCAGGGGAGGTCTGGGCGTCACACCATCCACTGCCTTCCCTTGCTTTTGCGGATCCATTCCCTTCTATGCCGGGAGGACCTGCTGCCAGGCTGGGCCTCCAAAGGCCTGTCTGCCAGTTTGGCCCAGCCCCAGTCCCCAGGCGGGTCACCACGTCCTGACTTAGAAACAGCAGGGTGCAAGAGATGCGTGAGTGTGTATGGTTTCTAACTGCTTTCTGGTTCAACTGCAGGCATAAGCAAAACCACAAGGAATCTTACAGTATGCCATTCATATATGGAAACACAAGTGGACTTCCTTTTTGTTCCAGTTGTCACCATTCTGGGAGTGTTATAGACTATTAAAGTAAGAATGGGGGTGGGGGAGTATATATAGATTATATACATATTTTTATAGATAAATATAGATATACATGCTCCCCCACCCTGAACTCTTTAGTAGTATATAAAACAACATTAAAAAAGAAGTAGACAGGCTATATGAACACTATTATTGTGGTATTTGTTCACTTCACAACCTAAAAATGTATTTTACATCTGTACCTCAGGGGCAGATCTGGCTCTGTTTCCCAGAAAACCCAAAGCCAAAAGCAAGAAGATGACTGAGGAAAGCCCTTCAGGACAAGAGGCGGCTAACAGACAAGAGCTGCCAGCTTTCCTCAGCACCAAAAACGGGGAAAAGAAAAATAAAAAACAAACTTCAAAAAACAAAGTGGTAGAAACTGGGCAAGCAAATGGATGAGAGTAGCTTAATAAACTTGAAGGTAAAAACTGTTAAAGCTCCCAGACTTAAAGCCTATTTAAAATAAGCGATTGAAGCACAGAAGATGCCATTTAAACACAAAGTCCAAATTCGGTTCTGTTCAGTGTTTTCCACAGATATTTCTGTGCAAATAAACATAAGGCAAAGGTTTTCTCAATGGCTGTGCAGTTGATACACGACAAGTGTTTTACATGTAATAAATGAAGAGGTTAGAACACATTCAAACAAACTTACCAGAAGCATCAGCATAAATGACCCCAGGTATATGATTAGAAAAAACATCAAAATCATAGCTAGAGTTAGAATTCCCCGAATCCACCAGTTTTTCCATCTATAAAAATACGAGAATAAAAAGCAACCAGTTATAAATTAAAACAAAGGTGACTTCCTTGACTAATTGGATAATAAACTGCGGTAATTCCACAAAATTTCTTGCTTATTTAATAAAACCCACAGCAAAAAACCCAGAACTAACCAAACGTCCAAGTAAACAAAATAATTCAGCGAAAGAAATCAAAGTCAGTAACATTGTTCCTCCATGATGAACAAAAGGCTCCAGGAAAATTCAAAAAGAGAACATATTAGACACTGTACAAGTGAAAAACAAATTTCGTTTCCCATTACTATTTGAGACACCAATTTGAGGTCAGTTTTTCAAACAAGGGCTTGGGAATTTTACCCTACACTGGATTTGTAGGTCTGTCTGCTGGCTTCTGCAAGACTCAGGTATGTAATAAATTGTATACTGATTTCCTGAGGTAAGCATCAAGGATGCAGGATATAGTATTTGTCTTTTGAGCTAGTTCTTCCATATATAACGTATTCCACATGGACAAGCTCCCATTGGATTACTGAAAAACCAAGAAATGCTGATAGCCATGACCAAGGAAATGCTCTGTATTTAAAGAAACTACAACTATAATGAACAGGAGAAATGCAACTGGAATTTTATCCATTAGCCTCCATGAATATGATGATCACCATAAGTATCTCTTTACCTAATTGTATAACCACACACACAATTTGCTACCCCTTAAATCCCTGTGAATAAAGGTGGGGGTTAGAAAACAAGGTTTGAAAAGACAAAGATGCAAGAAAAAAAAATTAAGATGGCATACAGGTGAGAAATATGTTGTATTTAACTTAAAAAATAATAATAATAAAAAGTTGCAAGTAAATGGAAAAGCTGTCAAAAACCCACAAA